CGATTGCTCATTATGCAGCATTAAATCAGAGCTCAGAAGTATTTCCTCTTCGTTTCCACATTCTGTTATCTTTATTAGCATACGCCAGATGGTGCTGATTGTTGATCTCATTTCCAGCGCAAAAACTTTGAGAATTTGGGAGTAAAAGATTCCAGAAAGCAGGAAGGGGGATCCTCCTTCCTGCTCCCGTTGTCGCGGCCTCCCTCATGAAATCTTGTTCTTGTTGTAAGTTCTTCCAAGATCTGATTATAAGAAGTTACAAGACCTTATAAGATAACCTCATATGATCTTGTAAGATCTTATAGGATATCGATAAGAATTTATAAGATCTTTTGAAATCTTGTGATTTTTTATCATATGATCCTCCAAGATTGTATATGATCTTGTAAGATCTTCCAAGATCTTGTTATCCGATTCTTGGATCTGGAATGTGTTTAATTATGACTAAATATTTGGTAATATATGCAGCCTGTAGTATTAAAATGGCACATACCTAAAGGAGTGTTACCATAATCGATGTTGAATAGAGCCCATTTCTATAAATTTCTAGTTCGATGTTTTATACGATTAAATATTTTCGATATCGTCACTCAGTTAACAATAAGCCCCAGTGGCGAAGTGGCCTAACGCGTCTGCCTTCTAAGCAGAAGATCGTGGGTTCGATCCCCACCTGGGGTGTGAAAATTTTTTTTTGTTCGATTTACAACAAAATTACATGATGTATTCACTACATGATACATTTCAGAAATGATACTTTCCGAAACTGTCCTTTCTCTTCTGATAACAAATTTCGTTTTGATGACTACGACATCTTTATATCCTTCGGTATTTGTTATGAGAATTTTAAGTCAGAGGCAGTGGAACCATGAAGGCTGTGGGTGGCTTTGCATCCACAGATTTTGAAAATTTTCGTTTTCTTCTTATGTTTTCTATGCTTTCTTGTCCTTAGGCACCCTTGGTTTCAGAATCATTCCGTCGCCTCTGTTTTAAGTTAATTGTTGGCCCTGTTTAAGTGGATTGCTGGTTGTTGAACATGTCAGCCAAACTGCTACTTTTTTTATGCAATAACGAAGAAGAGTTTGTAACTATACAGTTATAGAGTATGACAAGAACGGATATCGATAGATGGCACCCTCCGTGTCCCGAATCACTAAAATGCACTTAGAGGCAGTGACGGATTTAGGAGGTAAGTGCGATCATACCCCCTTCCAAAATATTTTCAGAAGAAAAAAGGAAAACCTATTAGTGCTTCAAGCCTCAAAAGTTCAAGCAATCGCACTTCCTCTTAAAAAAGACTTAATCCAATGCTTAGAGATGGCGTTATAGATTGGAAATTTAAAGTAGAGCTTTTGGACTATGCTAGATTGGAATAAAATAATTTGCACTCCAACTATGTCGCTACCGCGATCGCTATGGATTCGCGTCTGTCGCGGCGCAATCGCTGTGATCTCTTACATTCGCGGCGCGATCTTGATAGATTCTTATTTTCAAGAAGTATTCTTCCCAAGTCAACTTTTTTGGCTCATTCTTAGCGCGATCGCTAAAAAGTCTATGTCACGCCGTGATCATGGTGAACTCTTTTTTAGAAAAATAGTAAATAGTAGTTTTGCTTTTAGGTAACGGAAAATGGGACTAATTCGTATAATGGTCGATTAAAACTTCGCTGTTTCCCCACATTTATCGCTCGTGCAGCCGATGCACAGACTGCATGTTGTAATAACTGTCAATGGGTCCTATAGTCTTAGCTGAACGAATAATAAATTTGGGAAAACACCGAAGTTTTAATCGACCATTATACGAATTAATCCCATTTTCCATTACCTAAGACAAACTACTAAATAATTGGGTTATGACACCGCGATTTCTGTATGATCGCGACGCGACAATAGCGAATGAATCGCGAGTGCGACGCGACAATCGAGAATATCGTATGATTACTCTTAGAGCGCGACAAAACCATAATCATAAAAATCCCGTCTTATTTCGCGACTCGTATAGCGATCGCGTTCCGCGACTTTTTAGCGCGATTCGTGGCGCGACTCCAACGTGAAAGTTAACTTGGGTAGCATAGTTCCTCAACGAAATTGGAGTCAGGTGGAAATCTGGTTTTTAGGAATCCAGAGTGGACATCAAAGCTTCGCGAGCCCTGGAACTCAAACCTAGACAAGCAAGGTAACATTAACAATGAATATAACATATGTTATCGACTACGCTAAATCTTGTGGCAATGTTTATTTTATTAAAAGGTCCAAAACCTTAGTGAAAACGTATATAACGATCTGCAAGATCTATCCAAAACAAACAGCTTCTTAGAAGATTATCATTGAACAAAATAGATAAATATTCTTAGCAGCTTAAGTATTAAATCTTTATTTAGTTTATGCTAGCATTCTATTTCAAATTCCGTATATAGTAATCACGTCATATCATTCAAACATTTATCGATCGTATCACCGGCAGAAAAATAAAGTTCATTTAGAGTCTTGGAAAAGCGTTTTTTTCCTCTCCTGCACACTCGATAACCCAGAAGATTTTCTATTTTTGGCGAGAGATACTGCCAAAAGTTCAAGAAAATTTTTGAAACTAATATTATTTCCTCATGAAATTTTTTTTTCGCTATTTTGTTCGAAAAATTTCCCTAAACTTTAGACAATACCCCTCGCCAAAAATAGAAAACCGAGTGTGTTGAATAGGAAAAAGCACTATTCTGAGACACTGCATGAATTTTATTTTTCTCTTCATGTTGATATAGGATTAAATCACTAAAAGATGAAAATGTCACACATACGTATATCAATAAGACGTAACTGGGCAAAAAACTAAGCAGGAGACAGCATGTATCAAGTGAGAATAAAACATTTTAGTTGTGTATCAATAAAGAAGCATATGAACTTAGAAAAATGAGTTTTGAAGAATATTGGCTAAGTGTGAGAGCAGTAACTTACCGTTATATGAACGAATTATCAAAACAATTTCTTTATATTAGTGTTATTGTGTTTCTTTCTATACAATCCATGTTTATTCATTAATCAAAAAGTGTATAAAGTTTGAGATACAGATATATTTCTTGATGATAAAAATGTGTGGAGTTTGAGTATGAACCAAACGTTCCATATTACTCACTGTACATCAACTCAATATTAACTTTACTCGTAATGCAACTACCTTCTACATGAGACCAGTGTTGAATTTGGAGTTAAAATGGAAACCTGGGATTAAAAGGAACGTGTACAAATGGAGTGCAACGTAATTCTTTTAGGGGTTTACTGTTAGGACGTGTACTTTGTAATAAACCGAAACAAACCTTACATATTGTGTCATTATTACAAAATTTTACTATTAGGCGACTTGCAACAGTTAATTTTGGTTCTATATATCTCAGGCCCTTAAACAGCAGTTTTGGTGAATTCAGTAAGCTGGGTCGAATAGCAGGATCTGTTTGATAAAAAAATTTTAAAAAATGTTTGAAACTGGGAAAATTGAAAGTTCGTTGTTGAAAGTATGACGAATATTCCATGATAAACTTCAATATTCAGTAAAATGCAAGCTGAATTGTATTATAATCTGCATCTGACGGTGTTTTCAGACTTTAAGAACGAAAAAAAGAACGAATAAAATATATTCAATAAGACAAAAAAGTCTCTTGCACTTTGTTGTCTGTGTCGTTTGAGTAGTGTAGAAAAGTGTCGAAAATCCAGCTGAAGTTCTGAATTGATACAGAACTATTAGACTATTAGACTTCTGTTAGGTAATAGTTAAGGGAAGCGCGTTTAGTGTGGTCCGACACATCATAGTATAAATAGTGTAAAATTCCTTACTCTGGGAAAATCACCCTTCTTCTAAATCGTTGTTTTTCTTATCAAGCCAAAGTAAATCGATATCAAACCTCTTTTCCTGTTTAAATGTACCCATGGCTGGTCTACATGCTGTTACAATGATAGATTTAGTTTCACAAATAATTTCACTGGTTTGGCGTCAGTTTGTTCATCTGGCGCCTGTTTCAAGTTATTTGATTCATTAGCCATGAATTTGTTCTAGCCCTTTTAACTCGACAAAAATGCCAACCGAGTTCTTTCACTCCGACGTATTCGTTTCAAGGCAGACTCACAAAACAAATAAAAATCTTTCGTTGATATCGATTTTGATTCGAAAATGAATTTGTTTTCAAAGATGGATGAATAATTTTTTACTGAAGAAAAACGCATATTTTCAGTATTTTTCGTATAAAACAAACACAAAATGGAATTAAAGGTTGATCATATCCACATATGAACAAGACAATGCTCTCTGCACGATGGTGAACACCCGACCTCTCTAGCTTGTTTCGTTCAGAAACTATAGATCATAGAATGTCACACTATAGAGGTGGATGAATAATTTTGGTTCTCACTGTGTATTCTCGTAGAATACACGAAAAATAGATTTTATCATCTGTAACTGGTTGGTAAAATCTCTATACATATGGTATGCATTTAAGAGATTTAATTTTAGAAACGTATAGAATTACAAGCAACAATCACACAGAGCTCATTAATATTTCATTTGGTAGAGAAATATGTACTCTGAACTGCTAGTAACTCTAAAAAGCTCCATAAAATTCGGTCTAGACAGAAATTAGAGATTCACGATAAAGCTTTAGAAACATATAAAACAGACTCGTAACACCTGCCTGATGTGAGAGTATTGTGAAAAATAAAAAATAAACTTTTTTATATTTATAAATTTTAGCAAATATCTGTCTAAATTTTTACTATAATAATCCCAATCTGTTTAGAACAATTTAACAAAAAAAAAAAGAAATTTCCATTACAAATAAAAAACCAACATAGTTGAACTTTATCATGCACCAAAACAGAGAATATGTATTTTTATATACATGAAAAAAGAAAAAAAAATGGCAACAGAAAAACAGAGAAGAGGAAAGACAAAGTATAATGTAATATGTATTACTGGTTTTTTAGAAAGATCTGACTTGAGCATAAAATCACCAAAAAAATTATTTAGTTGGTTTGTGCTGATAATAAATGTTTTAATCTCAATTTAAATATTGTGTATTGTTTAAAATAATGTCTTGCTGTTTGTAGAGCACGATGTGAATCGTGTTGGCGAACCATTCGTGTGAAAAAACATGATACAAAATCACAGTCATCATTTAAATGATTATCGTTAAATTGCATTATGGATTGACGATGTTGAAGTAAAATGGCGACACAGAGGAAAATTGTGAACATTGAACAATTGAGATCATCATCATCGATGTCATTGACAAAGTTTATCAACCATTTTCCTAATGGAATAGATAATGGTGAAATGAAAGGAATTCCAATTTGTTGTTGTTCATCGTCATCGCTAAACAGACAGCGAATGAAACTAAAACTACAGGTCATAATCTAAATTGGCATTGAAAATATGAACAAAACCTACCCTTGCATTTCATCAACTTCTGTTGCTCCACGACCCGAATCGACACTCGTTCGTGAATGAAGATTTTGAGACGATGAACTTTCCGATAATATTGGATGTGAAATACTTGATGAACGAGATGTGGTAACCGATGTCGATTTAGCTGGTGGAAATGTGATTGAACGAAAGAACGATGTTGTTGTGTGACACAAAGGTATGGTTGTTATAGGAAACTGTTTTGTTGGTGAAGATGATGGACTACGTGATTCAAATAGTGTAACTGATATGGATGGAATGGTACGAAACTGAGTGTTTATTAGAGTCGTTGAAACCATATCTTCATGTGAAGATACTGATGATGAAAGCAAATAGTGTGGACATAGGTCATTTGCAGCTAGATCAGTGTTGGAACAATCAAAACAATGTAATGGTAATGATGACCAAAGTGTTTCGAATACACAAAATATATTTTTAAATGGAAATTCACGTTTACAATCTAATAGTAGCCAACGATAGGCAAACATCATGTTTCCTAGAATAAATTTACTTTACTAATCTCACAAAACTAAGAGCTCCAGAGATAATCGAACAACAGTTTGAATGTTTTACCTGTGTCAAATTCTTCAATTTTTGTCGATAATTCAGGATCGATTGCTTTTATAGTTGTTTTTAATAAATTCAAGCGTTTTTTCATTAAAACTCCATCAGGATTAAAGACTGAACTCATATACCTCATTAATGAACAAAAACCAGCATAGGCCAGATGTTCATCACGTGTCACATACAAAATTGGAGCGACCATATCTGTCATGCCTGGAAAAAATATGATGCTTACTTGTAGATTAGAGTGAAAGAGAAAGAAAAATATGGTGGTTTTACCCTGACTATATCCAATATCTGGATGATAAACACTGTATGTCATCAAAATATTATGAAGTTTTTGAGATGATGAATTTTGCTTATCTATAATTTAAATTCATATTCTAATAGAGCAATGTATTATTACACGTTTCTATTTACCAGAGAAAAATTTAACTGTACGATCCGTTCGTCGAACATCTTTTTGAATGAGACTAACTAATGCCAAAATTGATGGATCTTCTTGAATTTGTCGTAATCGCCAAGATTGTTTTAACCTTTGAAAATATATTCAACAAAATTTGAATATGAAACAACATGAAAAACATACATCTCATATTGTTCTTTTGCTCTCTCAAAATATAATTCTTTATCGTTATTTGTCATCATATCATTGTGCAAACGAAGTAAATAGCACCAAACTTGTTTACGAATAATCGAGTCACATCCACCTAAAACAGAATATCGATTCGAAAACCGTTAATTTGATTTTGATCTTACACCTACCATCAAATATGTATTGTCTAAATTTATTTTCATTTATTAATCGTCCATCTTTATCTAATAGATTTTTGAATTCACTTCTTGATAAACACGGTGTTTGATGATTTGAGCTTACACTACCATGTAACCAATCTAGAATAATGTACAATATTTGACCATTAGTCCGAAGCGAAAAAATATAGTACTTGCTCACTTGTCGCTTTTTGTAACAATGACGAATTCTCGTGTTCTTTTGATCGAATCGTAACAATGATTGAATCATTTTGTATCGAAATTAATTCAAAATTATCACAACCACCCTCTTCAATTACACACCATCCATCTAAACGAGCCAAACGTTAAATATCACTATTCAAAACTACTAAAGATGATTGCTGCGGTTCATCCAGAGGGGTTAAATAGTTAACGAAAATAAGTGAGGTATTGTTGAATACATCATGGCTAAAACTTAATCATTTAAGAAATTACATATAAGATAGATTATAGCAAGTGCTCACGAAGTTTTGATTAACCCCTAGTAAGATCTACGCGATAAGTGATGATAATAGGTGGCGCTACCAATAACTGCGCGACCTGTAATTTCTTTCCGCATAGATCTCATTAGGGATTAACCAAAACTTCGAGCACACGATTTTATTAAATGGACAATTTCATTTTAATACTCTCGAGTCTCAATATCACCCTCCTCATCAACTATCATTCCGACCATATGATGTGTGATAAGATACAAATTAACAATTACACTTACAGTGCATACCCTCCCCCCCCCAAGAATAGAAGGCCATGGCCTTCTATGATGGTTTCGCACATCGCATTTTTTTTGGTGAAAAACTGCCCTACATATAAGACGTTTTTCAAAAAATTTTCGCTCCAGACTGGCCTTCTATTTCGTGGAGGGTTACTATAACAGGAAATGGCGAGCAAAGTGAGTTTGTTTATTACTCTTCAATACATAACTACAGTAATGTAATAAAACCGACGTTGAACTCTTACCTTCTCCTTCTTCTTCTTTAGTGACTGGTTCTAATTGTACGACAAATTCGATAATATTTGTACCATCACAATTCATAATTAATCCGTCAACATCCCAGTCATTGGTCACCGACATTTCACAATGAAAATTTGAATTAAATGATTGAGTGGTTAAAGCAATGATTTGAAAATGAGTTGAACGGAGTTGAAATGATTGACAAATTAAATCGCATAAAAAACTATATGATAGTAACTCTAATTGAACAGAATAGCGTTTTTTTGATAAAAATCCATTACAATCAAATACCTATTGATAATAAAATGCTTATTCATTCTCTATTATTCACGAAAAAAGCTAAGTATGACTCACTGAAATGAAAAAAATAATTGAATTTGGTACGTGCACATGCAATAGTTTTGAATCTGATGAATGTTTTTTCGGATACTGTGAACTACAACTGGATATAGTCTAAAAACAAAGGAAAAGAAGTGAAAGCTAACAATATATAAAACCTGTAGAAAAATATTATACTTTAATCATTACGACACTATTTAATTCTGCTCTTTTTATAAATCATCTGTGTGTAGGGAGGTGTGTACTGTTTAATTTTGACTGAACCGTATAAGACATCCCACCTTCTCCTTATATTCATTTTTTGTTCGTTCTTTTCTTAACCTTCACTATCAGCTGTTTTTATTGACATGAAACTCTTGTGCAATTTCAATTCTTCTCTTTTCTCTAGACTATCTTATCAAAATTTTCCATCTAAACGGCAATGAACATGTTCAAGTGTAAGAAAATTCAAACCGTTATTCTTTTATCTGAACAGTAATCATCCTATCTTAAGACTAAACATATTTGTTCGATTTTAATAGGTCATATACTTCTTATCGAAACAATCTATCTCTTTTATATTAAGTTTCTTTATAGTTTTAAAATTTATTAAACTTTCAAGAGAGGTTTTATGCAAGTACTTGATTTTTAAACATCAGCTTAGGCGTTTGTTTTTAACTAAGTACAAACAAATGCAGAATTTGCGTTTGATTATTAAATATCTCCTTCATTTTGTAACTTGAGCGTTCAATCATTTAGTCAAAAAAAGAAACTTTTCAAACAGTGCAGAATGCAAAGGACTATCGAAGAAAACCGGTTCTGTTGAAAGTGTTTGAAATAGAATTAGAGAGATTATTAGTCAAGCGAACGTTTTTTTCTTCATCTATTGTGTGTTTTATTTCCTAGGCAAGAAAAACGTTAGAAACGCATTTTTTCCAAATGCATTAGGGAATCGGTAAAATAACTGCTGAAACGCGTTTTAACGGTGTCACTTTTAATGCGTTCCATGACAATAAGATCAAAACGAAACATAGAAGTTATTTCGTTGTGAAACGCTCTTTCGAAGGCGTTGATTTTGAAACTTCTTTTAACGTGTTTAACAATTTTTTTGTCTTTCCTATTTGGTTTTAACCAGAATACGTATCTGTCGTTTCAAAGAGATTTTAAAAGTATTGCGGCGTTGTATCATATCGTTTATTTGATACAAAAGTCACTTTACTCAAGTACAGGTTTGTTTCTTTAAAGGCGTATTAGATCAATGTCTAACAGTTTTTGTTATTCTTTCTTTTTGAGAATGATAGGTTATGACCTCTTGTAATGGCAGCTGCATTTAACACAAAAAAATAATATATTTTTTTTATTATTAATATGTTTTCGCAGCTTGCTTGAGAAATATTATTATATTATTTAAAATAATAATATAATAGGGAAAAACAATATCGATTTTCAGATTCGAAACCATAACCGTTTTATGAAATGCATAGTGGAAGTTAGATGTCACATTTGAGACAGTATACTGCATAACAATGAAAACAGCGCACAATAAATAAGAGAAAAATTAAGGGATTAGGAATTAGACAAGAATGAAGTAGAAAGAGAATAGATTTTGAACAAAAGTATTAAGATGTTGTATTTACTGGACTCTAGTTTCAACTCACCGATAGCAATCATGTTCTATTTGAATATCTAATGAAAAATTGACATATAAAATGGGCAGAAAAAACTCACTATATCTCTTTACTCACGACGCAAAACTACAGAAAATTAAAAAAAAATTTAAAAAAAGAACCTTGAAGAGAGAGAATTTTCTCGAAAGATCTTGTAATTATTCACATCAAATACGCCATTGCGATACTACTTACATCATCGTTATCTTCTGCACTCCAATCATCAGAAGAATTGGATGGTGACATTATTTTATTACAAAATTATTTTATTACTGACATTGTTTAAAAAGTGTGAATATAATTTTGTCACAATATATCGCTGTATTATGGACGAAATGATGACACGCATGTTTTTTCGTTCTTTATTTAAATTTCGTTTTCTCTCTTGTATAGTCATTTTTGTTCGTGTCATGATAACATCATTTTCTATACTCTTTTTTTCTATGATGTCAAACAGCTTGCTCAGTAAACTAATATTTCATTTGCATAAGATTTTAAATATCTTAGTCTCAAATCAATATTTGATATGCATGTCGATAACTGAATGCCTATTGTTCAAAATTTTATCTTAGCTTGTATAAATATTTCTACGTTGATAATCACAGAATATCAGATATTAACCAACTGCTTTCTATTTTGATAAAGCATGTTGAAGACAGAAAATGAAAGAATATAAAATTTAACTTTCTTTGAATTTGAACAAGATATAAAAACGATTTAGTGAAAAGATATAGCGAGAAGACAATGGCGACAATGGCAACTCTACATTTCATCTGAACGTTGTCTGTGTACTAATATCATTTCCTTTACTCTTTCAAAAACTATACACTGTATTTTCTTTCAGTTCTTAAAGGAATCTATTACGAATGGTTATTAATAAAATAGACGAACATTAATTGTGATGAAAGTGAAAAAGTTCTTTAGATATAAATTTGTTAAAATATTATCAGACATAGAGCAGATCTAAAATTAACATGATCAGATGAAGATGCTCGAAATTTCATATTCATATTCGGCTCTTTCATTAGGTTCTATATACCATAGTAGAGAAGATCCAATTCTTCCAACGTTAAGAATCGAGGATCGAATTCTAAAAGTAATTAAAAACATGAATTAACATGTAGAACACACACACACACACATAAAAATTGCCAAGTAACATATTCTGTGACTAATTCTGTTTTCGACAAAAACAATGACAATTTCATGTGTTTTTATTTATTATTTAACGAATGACAGCTTTTTTTAATACATAAATAAATGTACAACAGAACCATCTTAAGAAAGCAAACAAATCGAACTTTTTCAACTTTAAAAAAATCTGCACCCAACTATGGCACTGTAATGGCGAATGTAGCAAATTAGACAGACATCAGTTGAAACATCATTTGAAATGAAGAATTTTCTATCATATAGCTGCCGTTGCTACTGGAGTATACTGACAAATCAGACTTATCAGTTCAAGTAGTCCAATACACTCTCGACAGTAGATAATCTTTAATCGTGATAACTCATCTCTTCGCTGTGTATTATATGAACACCACATATTTTCTGGACACATTAGTCTTTTTTGTCAGTTGAGTATCTCTCTTAAGGTGCGAAAGGGCGAGACTTAGTCGATAGGCTAGCGCCCAACACCTACTGTCCAAGTAAATTCCTTTTAGATTCATAATGCACTGAAGTTAAAATCCAGGTTTTTCTATAAATTATTGGAGGATGCAGTTGATGGGTTCCCAAAAAATACGGGTGCACCTGACTACTTTTGATTCTCGATCGATAGTGAAAATTTCTGTTCAGTTGGGTTTACTGTTTTCATACATTTATAGAGTCAATAAGAAGGAGGATAAATATTAATAATATAAATATATTAATATATAAATATTAGAATAAGTCTCAAGATGATCCAGAGGTGAGCATGTCATGGGTTTTCCAAGTCACAAGTCATGACTTGAAATTTCTTTTCCGTAGAAAAATATCCAAAGAGAAGCTGGGCAAGTTACAGATTCTATGAGCTTCAGTTAATGCTTTTTTTAGATAGTTTGAATAAAACTTATAAAAGTTCATAGAGAAGTCCTAAAGTACGCATTATGCACCGACATTATTATAGCTCAAAGCCAGGTTTTTTACCTTAAACCTGTAGCCATTTACAAGATTTCTTCACTGTTTTAAGCCCTAGAAACCTTGGGTTAGTCTTAAACTAAAGAAAACACTCAGCGCTATGACATAGCAGAGCCCAGTTTTTGAAATTTTTGTTGCTTAATATTCAGTCAATGTTTTTTTTTGAAAACCTGAAAAATCATGAGCCAGCTAGCCCATGTTGTCACTTTTCAGAGAACAATTTTGTGTTAAACATTAAAATAACGCAAAAAAGAGCGACTTCCGTACAAAATTTTGCAAAAAGGCCAACGAATACAGAATTTTGTATAAAACTTTTTGTAGAATATGCAAAATTTTGCAATATTTATGTCAATAAACATTATGCAATCGTTCGGGGATTTTTTTTCTTGCTTAGTCACTTTTTTTTGCAAAATGTGCACCGCTTGATCTGGAGAAGGAAGCTAGTAGAAAACTTCTGAAAACAGTAGGATAGTCTCTGGATACGGCAGATTGACAACTACACGTTCTTTTTTCAAATCGTGGTCCCCGAAAAGTTACAGGGTTCAAACTATACGTTTCGTACAACAATCGTACGCACGATCTGATCTGATCCTATGAGATCTTACATATGAAATAGTAAGATTACATAACATCGTGTCTGATTTTATACGATTCTACATACGAATGATACGTGATTCTGACTGTTCTTTGCTCGTTTCTCTCGCTAGCCCGCTTTTTCTTTTCTTGTGCGTTTTTGTCGCATATGAATCTTCTCGATTCGTTTCTTTTTCATGTCTTTTAATCACGTATGGGAGATATAAGAGGTTTACAAAAAGAGCTGCTGGTAGACATGGGCGAGTTCGGTTCGGAGACCAAAACAGTTTTTTTAATGGGACCGGAACTGGAACGGGGACTAAAAAACCCTGGTCCCGTCCCTATCTAACTGCTGGGTTGGAAAAACTGTAAAAGTATTTCAGTTCATTAGATAAATCACATTAAAACAGGAGAAAAGAATTTAAAAATAAAAATAACATAAAT